CGGAAATGCGTACCAGCACTGTTCATTCCCGGTCCATCTAAATGGCCGGGTAGCCAGGCCCATCCGCTCCGCTGGTCTGCTCATCTACAGTAGATTTGGGCAGGCATGTGCATGCATGTAGTCTAGGCAATTTCATCAGGAATTTTCAGAATCAATAGCGGGGTGACAATTGACTTTTGCTTCTGATTTGATAGAATCTTTGTGGTCTTGAATAAAACTAGAGATGGGCGATTTGCATCCGGATATCCGCGCGGATGCGGATATCCGGCTGCTTTTTCCGGCCATCCAGGCATCCGCATCCGCACCCGCACCCGCTGGCGGGTATCCGTCGGCCGCAGCGGGGATCCTCGTATACCCGCCCTTTAAGCGACCGGCAACTGGCCGGCTGGAAGGAAACCCTTCCAGCCGGACATCCCCCCTTCTGGCCTCGGGTATCCTTTGGGATACCCGGATACCCGCCCAAATTTCTGGGAAAAGGGCACATCCGAACCCCAATCCGTATCCCCTGGCGGGTATCCGCCAGGGGATAGCGGGTATCCGCAACGGATACCCCGCGACCATCTCTAAATAAAACCCACAAACTCAGGAGACCTTCAGCACTACACCTTGACTGAACAAATCAACTTCACACTTGCTACAGGTTGTGAAAGTGTTTGTTGGACCGAGACAACCAAGTCTCCAAAGGCTTGATTGAATCAATTTGATGTGTTCAGCAAGATAAAAATTTTATCACTCTTGTAAGCATCTGTCAGTACTTCTGAGTTTCACAAGGGTTGTTTCTGGCAAATCCCAATAATTAATTGTGAACCCCGCTAATGTTTGGATGACTCCCTGCTAGGATTTAACTGTCCCTGCTAGGATTTAACTGATCAATGTGATGGACACAGCCAATTAACTTGTTCACAGCTGCACTGATTAATCCCCAGTGACCCTTGAGACTACTGATTGGTGGATGAGGTTGTGGTATGGAGGTGTGATAGCAAGCACTGATTCAAGATCCCAGAAGCAAGTCCCAGCTGGATTAGCGGGGTTCACAATAGCGTTTTTTGCTTATAGCACCGGTTATTTTTTTTTGTTGCTCACGCATAGCTGACATTAATTTTCTCAGCAAAAATTCAAAATTCTGCGCTAAATTTTATGTCTGCAGCGGTGCTGCAGTTTCTTGTGAAAACTACTGTCAGTAGTCAGTGGTACTGAGAGAATGAAGATATCCAGCTGTGTTGCTTGTGGATCAAAATCTCCAAGGACCCAACTGTAGGCTCAAAATCTCCAAGGACCCAACTGTAGGAAACCACCTGGAGATTTTGAATCTTGATCCACAAGCAACATGTTGAGATACCGTGACATGTCATTGACCGCTACATGTTCACAGTAGTTACTGTGCTTCTTTCTTCTTTCACTTCTTTCATTTCTCTCATGTCACACTCTGTGAAATTCAGTTGTTTTTGTTGAATTTTTCACTCCTTGGTCTACTCCTTCCCAAAAAACATTCTTTTCCCCTTTATTGTTTTTCTTAATTCTTTCTTGAGTCTTCTTGATCATGACTGAACTATAGTCAACTCCAGCTAGTTTTCTGTTGAAATCTTATGCACTTTGTAGTCTAATTAGAACTCTCTTCTGCAATTTTATCAACAACTCTAGACATTGTGATTGACTTCTTTCTTTTGCTAGTTCACTATTTGATTCTTTAAAAATTGGTTAACAAGAATTAACGCCTCTTGTTATTTGTGATTCAAAAGATTTTTTCTTGATTAACTCATCTGACATTACTAAAAGAGAATGAGAAGTTTTGTATAGTTTGTTACTTCCAAGAACTTGTTTTTTCTTCTCTCAGTTTTTATTCAATATTCTTTTTTATTCATTTTCTCTCAACCACTTTTTGACCACTTGTACCTAGTCTATTTAATCCTGGCTGGTTGCAAGTGAATGAAAATCATCGGTTCTTTCACTCTTTTTCCGTGAACCTTTCCCAAAAATAAGATCCTCAATTTTTGGCCCTCCACCTCTTACGCGCCTGAGTCTCAAAATTTCAACAGTTTTTGCTTTCAGTTCATATACTGGATTCATGTGTGCCTGGGAGGATTCCCTTTTCCTCATCCTTTCCAACACACATGTCTCCAGGTATGGTCCTTTCTCCTTTTCTTTCTCCTTTTATTTCTTTTTCTCTCTTTTCATGTTGAAATGAACACTTATCCTTTCCAACACACATGTCTCCAGGGTGTTCATCTCAACAGGTTATGATGCCCATCTCCGCTTAACAGCTCAAAACTTACTCGCTACGCTCGTACTGCTCAAGGCTACTTTTCTTACGCTACACTCGCATTATTCTCAAACATTGACTACGCTAACTCACTCCGACTCGCCCTCTTTGAACACCTCTTGGTGACGACATTCATTGTCATTAGGATCATCGCTATGTCCGACCCCATAGCCCAAACCACCGATGCCTCCGATGCTCTTAATCTTAAAGTGTCGGGCATCGTTCAGCTCAAGCCGCAAGGAGCAGACTCAAACTACCTCAACTGGAGCTTTGTGGTCTTACTCCACATCAAGTCGCTTAAGCTTTCTTTCATCCTCGAGCCTGAGGACACCTCTACCACTACCAAGAAGAAGTCTCAACCCTCCTCGTGGGCGAATGACAGCATCTCTGTCTCATCGTTCATTGCGTGAACGATTCATCCTAGTAATCTACGCTTCGTCAGGGCACACGGCACCGACACCGCGGCAATGTGGATCTCCCTCTCCCAAGCCCATCAGGACTTCTTGTCTGGTGGGCGCATACACTGGTTGCGACAACTGGTGGTTTCTCGTCTCTCCGGAGACAATATTGATTCACACATCAAGACAATGGCTGTCTGAGCCGAACGTCTTGGCTTGTTGGTAACTCCGGAAAAGCCGTTGACTGTTGACGAAATCCATGCGAATGCGCTTCTTACATCGCTCACGGATGACTGGCTTCCGTGTGTATCCGCGCTTATGAGCGAGGATTCAGTCACCTCCTCTCGTATTGTTTCGCCCTCAAGGTGGAGTCTCTTCGTCGTAAGGCCAGGAAAGACGACTACTCCGCGGTTTCGGTCTCCAAAGCAAGAGCCAAGTTAGGCAAGGGCCGCCCGCGTTTCAACAAATCGTTGCACTGCACTTTCTGTAATCACAGCGGACACGACTTGTCCATCTGTCTGAATGCTGCCCGGGTGCTCTCCAAACATAAATCAAACCGCTCCGCTCCCAATTCTTCCCACCGCGCCGATAACTCTCGCAACAAGTCTTGCCCGGCTGCCTCTGACAGATCCTCATCTCGTCAAGCCCCCTCAACCAAACTGTCCGCCACCGCCGGACAAACCACCGTCGTCGAACTGGGGTACAATTCCTACGGCGACGACTCAGACTTCTCCATTCCAGAACGTGCTGGAGTTGGGAGCCCTCTTGAGCTTTCTATTTTGGATCTGTTTCTTAATCAGCATTGTCTATATCAAAAAAAAAGAAATGAGAAAGGGAAAAAAAGCATTAAGCGTATATTTTGCTTAATTTTTTCATTTTCATCCCAATTTGGGTTTGCCTCTGAGAGGAGTGGATTGACTGGCCGAGCTGAAGCCATTTTCACAAGTTGAAAAGATGAATGTGATTGTGGAAAGAAGGGATATCCAGTTGTTATCAGGGGCAGAACCCTCCTCATTGTCAACGAACTTGAAGCGATCAAAACTCGCTGCCGGTTTCGGGGTTTGATAAGTGCAAGCCAACCCCCCTCGCGCACGCCAAACTGCACGCCAGCTGCAGATTGGCATGCACGCCTGCACGCCATTGCAGAATGGCATGCAGACAGGCAAGCCACTTGCCTGCAGGGGGTATACCCTGCAGGTTGGTGTGCCTGCCTGCACGCCAAATATATGCATATGTGGTCCTAAACGCATATTTATATGCATTTAGGACCAGGGCTGTCCCATAGGACCCAGGCATGGGTCCTATGGGACGGCCCCATTCATTTTTTTTCTTTCAAAAAAAAATAATAAGAAAAAAAGTTTTTTTTTGGGAATTAATAAAAAAAACGGGTTTTCCGCGTTTACACGCGATTTTGCTGCGGCACAGCACACGCGGTTTCCGCGTTTAAACACGGTTTTGTATTTAATTTTTTATGGGTTATTTTTCGAGTTTTTTTGAATTCTTAAAGTTTTTTCCTACACTTTAAAAGGTGTAGAATTTAATGGTAAAAACCTTTTTCCATAGAAATGAATTTTGATTATTAAATATTTTTTTTTCACTCATTTCTCAATTAATTGTTTGCATACGTGTATGTACATACCTTATTTTTTATATTTTTTTGAAATTTTAAATTTATTTCCTAGGTTGTAATGTGCGTAGAATTTAATGGTGCAATCCAATTTTTATAAAAATGAATGGTTCATTTTTAATGATGCAATTACACCCATTTTTTCACTTAAAAGTTTAGAGCTTAATTTTCGACATTTTAATTTTTTTTCTTACACTTTCAGACATTTATAAATTTATGGTAAAAATCATTTTGCACCAAAATGAGAACTACATCTTGTATACTGCATCTGACACCGTTTTTTTTATTTATTTAATTCTTCACTTTTTCACTCAATGGTTTGCATTAATTTTTTTACCTTATTTTTCATGTTTTTTTGAAATTTTGAAGTCGTTTCCTACATTTCAAAGTGTTTAGAATTTAATGGTAACCTTCAATTTCCATAAAATTCAACGGTTCATTCTGAATACTGTAATTGGTCTTAAAATTCAATTGATTTTTAAGAGCTTAATTTTCATTATCTTTTGACATTTTAAATTCATTTCCCACACTTTGAGACATGTTAAAAATGATGGTAACAATCATTTTGCATAAAAATAAAAACTATATCTTGAATACTGCATTGAACGCTGTTCCTTAATTAATTCTTACACGCTTAATGATCCTTATTTTGTGGAATTTTAAGTTCTTTTACTACACTTTGAAAGGTTTTAAAATTGTTGGCTGTATCTATTTTGCATTCAAATAAAGTTTGTAAACAGTACAAATTATGCAAGAAACGGTGTACACTCTTATATTAAGATTGAAGCTTTTATTTTGAGGCAAAATTAATTCTACCATTAAATTCTACACACTTTTATATGTAGGAAATAGATGTAAAATGTCAAAAAATGATTAAAATTGAGCTGGTAAAAATTAATTAAAAAAACATAAAAAAAAAGGGCCTTAATAAAAAAACCCGCATTTTCCGTGTTTTGACGCGCTTTTGCCGCGCCGCAGCACACGCGCATTCCGCGTTTAAACGCGCATTTATTAATTATGCATAATTTATGCATAATTTCGCCTCCAGGGGGCGCGCGCGCGTACCACAAGTGCCTGCATGAAGTTTGAAAATTTTCCTGCAGGCACCAAACAAGAAAACCACTCACCACAATCAAAAAAGGACATCACCCCCCCTCTAAACCTTCAACACACCACAACTCAGTCAAAACTCAACCAAAATCAACAAAAAACATACTCAAATCACCCATTTTTTCTCCTCTTCGACCCCACGGACTCGGATTTTTTTGATTCACCTCCGGCTCATTTCCAACTGGCAGGTACACTCTAAACTTCAAAAAATCATAACTTGGCCATTCCTCAACCAAAATTCACAAAAAAAATACCAAAAGCACCCATTTTTCATGCTCTTTACCGCCACACTCTTCAAATTTGCTGATCCATCTCTTGTTTTTTTTAAGTCATTGTTAGGCCTCAAACTTCAACTCTGAATAACTCAGCCAATCCTCAACCAATTTCTTCAAGAAAACCATCAATCAACTTCTGTCTTGATCCTCTTGACCGCCACCGTTGTAAGACTCAAAAGTGGTTGTGAAACCCTTTTGCTGAATGGAGAAGGGGATGATGGAGTTGCAAGCTCTGCCCTTCTATGCTATCAGAACAACAAGACCACCAAGCTCAGCTTGGCAGTTTACATATCGTGATAGAGGATAGTTCGAGATGAAGCTGTCGAATGATACGTATAACGGTTGAAGGTGTTGATGATTGTTGTTGATGAAGTCGTTGATAGAGGTGTCAATGATAAGTGTTGAGAGTGAGGCTTGAACGCGCAACCTCGAGGTTGATGGTATATAAATTTTATGCTTCGACCAGGAATGGAACGGAGGACCAGGCACAGGTGGAGGTAAGTTGGAGTTAAGGTGGAGTTAAGATGGAGTTGAAGTGGAGTTAAAGTGGAGTTAAAGTGGAGTTAAAGTGGAGTTAAAGTGGATGTCTTGAATGGGAATTGAACCCAGGTCCTTGTAGTTGGGGTGTATAAAGCCAAAAAGCAGTGGATTTCAGGCAAAGGTGAGATAGCTTAGTGGTTATGAAAAAAAGTAATGTTGATATTTCTACACTATAAACTGTTATAATATATATAAGGGGGGTTATAATTATAAAACCTCAATACTAGGTAGCTAATAATATTGAAGAGTGACCAGTGATGTAGTGTTATGGGGGGGACTGACTACAGAGCATCTGATGAGGAGGGAATACAACTGGCAGGCAGAGGCCTCCTTATATAGACAAAAGTGAGGGAATTTAGCTCCAGGGTACATGCAGGTGAGGGAATTTAGCTGGCCTGAATATCCAATGAGGGAATTTAGCTAGTCTAGTACATGCAGGTGAGGGAATTTAGCTAGTGATAGCACAGCCTTGAGGGATTTTGGCTGGCCTACAAGGTCCTGCTACAAAGGAATGCATGTGCACCAACAAAGGAATTCAATATGTAATATGAGCTAGTAAAGGAATTCAATATGAAACAAAGGAACTCAATATCCAATATGCATCCAGTATTCAAATTGAGCTATAGTCAGAGTAAAGAATCCAAGAGATATCCTGTGATAGGTTGAAATAGGTGTAACTTCTGAACTAATAGAGATAAGGGGGTAGTTGTAGTGGGTGACTAGGGGTTATTTTACCTCAGGAATCCATTTTTGATGTTTCTTTTACCTTATATCTGATGTAGAAAAAGATGAGAATAATTTTTTATATTTTTGGCGTAGAAACACAGGAATAACTACCACATCCTCCCCCAACTTATTGGCTGTCCCCAGTCAATTCTGACTTTGACTGTGTTTTGAAGCTATTTTCTGAAGAAATTTTGAGGTTTTGACGGGGATTTAATTGGTGTTTCTTCCAGAATTCTCTTGCGGCTAGATCCTGGCTTCTGGTTGTTTGCTAAATTGGTGATGAGTTGAGTTTGGTGTTTGAGAATGGTGATGAGTTTATGATAGTTGATTGAGATAGGTGATGATTTTGAGTCAGGTGATTGAGATTTTTGATGAGTTGATGACAGGAATGTTGGTTAAGGTTGAGTTGTTTTTGCGGAAGAGCAGGCCAATCAGAAGAGGCTGAAAATTTGGTACGTTGCCGAGTCCTGATTTCATGGAGGAAGAAGTTGTTGATCCAATCCAAAAGAGATATATCCAATTTTGTGAGGGCTTAATACATTTGACTGATTGTTTGTGTCCGTTGCCGTCCTAAAGCTAAAATTGGTCCAAGAATCTAGAAGAAGAATCAAATCCAAATAAGAGTTTGAGCTGATAAAAGAACTGTAAGATAAATTCAATCCATAAGTTTGAGATACTAAAAGCAAGCCAAAATAGAAATCCAATCCAGATAAGGGTTTGAGATAGTAGAGAAA